CACACAATTACTCTAAGGTGTGTAGCAAGGTGTTGGAACAGATTTTCCAAGTTTACTGATTTTATAAAATCTACTCATTTGTATATATTGTTATTAGTTAAATGAAGTTTTCCAGTTTTCTCTTTCACTAGAATATTGAAATAAATCTTGTTATAATCTTGCATGGTGTTGGCATGGAACGTTTACTCTTTTCTTCTCACATTTCCACCAAGGGGAGGGAACGTCTCCTCCCCAGAAGGATAGATAGTCTTTGTCCCCTCTCCCTCTTCCCAAGCAAAAAGTGATTTCACTGCTTGGTAAGAATGCAGAATAAGCTCTCGATGCTCGCTCTTTGGGAATGGCCAGTCATCCAGACTCCTCCTGAGCAACCCTGTCCCTACAAGAGAGACCCGGAGATGCGTGGCTGTGTCAGGAACTAGCTAGGTAAATTCAGCTCAGGGAAGATGTATTGGGAAATGCATCTGGCTGAGATCCAAACCACCTTCTCTCTGTCAGCTCTTCCAGTAATGAAGCTCCTCTTGATCCCCAGATCAAGAGTTGTTGAACCTTGTTGATCATTGTGTCTGCTTCCTTGTGTTCCTTCCCGAACCTTGTTGATGCTTGTGTCTGCTTCCCCATTACTTTCCCCCTTTCAAACCTTAACACGTAGTTGTTCACTCACAGAAAAAGAATTGTTCTTCTTTGTGGAGTTATATTACCATCTTGCAGCCTTTTGTGATTTGTATGAGACATTTCGTATTTTTCCTTGTAGATCACAGCTTTTGTTCCCAGTGGTCACATTTGCTGATTTAAGGACATCTAGATAAGTAAGGTATTCATGAGCTGACTTTGAAAGAACTGCTTTATTCTTAGGCACATACTCTCCATACTCCCTCCTGTTTTTATATTATATTCATTTCCTCTCCTCCTTAGGAAAAGAAGCCTTTTTGAAGAACTGGGATCTTTTTGAAGAACTTCTTTGTGGGATCAAATGCTATCTCATACTATCTTTAATGCATTTTTGTGGCTAGAAGTTCCTATGATTCTGTACTTAAATTGATCTATCTTAATTTCCTTTATCTAAATTCCTTAGATTCAAAGTCAGAAGACCTGGCTTTAAGCTTTGGTTCTGCCATCCACTAGCTGTGTGCCCTCCTGGCTCCTTTTCCTCTTCTATAATTTGAGAGAGCTGGCATAGCTGGAGTAGATAACAGTGAGGCAGGGAAACTGAAAAGGCTCCATTTCTGCTGTTTTCCTGCTAGGCCCTATTTACTCACATTCTATATTTCACCTGGCATCTGAGTAAAAACCAGAGAAGCTGCATTCCCACTCCAAGGGGGAAGCAAGAGAGTTAAGCATCCTCTGAGTTCCATCCTTGGCCCCCAAACACCTGCCAATGGCTAAGAAGAGCCGGGTACCAAACATGTTCTAGAACATTAGCTTCTAACAAACCTGAGTTGACATAGGCATCAATGTTCCCTACCTTCAGCAGTTAACGAAATAGCACCTATAATTCTCTGGTCACTGACCTTTGGTCGGATCCTATCCTGGATTCCTGAAGGAACACATATCTGGGACCCCTTTCCAATGGAAACCCTTAACCCTCAGCAACCCCTAACTGCCCCCCCTCCAACTCTCTTTTCCTTTCCAAGTCTCCCAGACACACAGTCTGCTATTCTCCGTCACTCAAGCTACTCAGTGAACTCCTTTCACTTCCCTCTTGCTCTCATTTTACTTCTATCCTGTGCAAAGCCAAGGAGCCTCTAGGCTGGGCCTGCGGGACCCCCTTCTGGATCCTTGGACCCAGGATCTCAGGTGAGGTCCCTTCCCAACCTAACAACCCATCATTTAATATTTCCAATAATGTCATGCCCCATCAGGTGGAAAGAGAAAGAATTTAGGATTCATATGGACTAAAGGTCTAAACTACATTTATTCTTTAGTAATCTATTAGTAGTTTACATAGTAATAGAGGTAAAACCTCCTAAAATAACCAGTTTGGATACAGAGGAGAGAAACCCAGATTATAAACCTTTGCTATCAAAGACTCTGCCAACTTGGCCTGGAGGGCTCAAAGCACCAAGGAATGGAAAGGAAATTTCTTTTGCCCAGGGTGCAACCTAGGAGTCCAGAAAAGCTGCCCGCAGGGGTGGAAACTTAACTGGTTTCCAAACATCATTACAGAGGTCAATAGCCTCATGGTTGACCTTTGACTTGGGAGTAGAGTGGCAGCAATTAAGGACCCGTTTGCCTGAACCCCGCCCTAAGCCGGAGACCTGATTCCGCCTCCCGGTGCTTCCTGCCAACCCGGGGACGCCTGGGCCAACCTGAAGGACTCTGAACTTGGTTGGTCTGTAAGAAAGAAGTTGAGACTAAAAGATTTGTTTTTTGGTTTTTGTTTAAGATCTATTTATTCATTTAAGAGAGAGTGTGCGTGCAAGCAATCAGGGTGGGAAGGGACAGAGGGAGAGTATCTCAAGCAGACTTCCCGCTGAGCAGGGACCTCTCCCCTCCCCAGATCATGACTAAGATGAAATCAAGAGCAGATCACTTAAGCGACTGCGCCACCAAGGCACCCAAGATCTGATATTTTTATTAGAACTTTTTTTCCATTATGGAATGATTGAAAAATCATTGAAAAATACAGAACACAGAAAAACATCCAAATCCCACCATTCAGTTTCAGCCACCATTAATGTCTTGATGTGTTTCTTTCTTTCTTTCTTTCTTTTTTTTTTTAGGTAGGCTCCTAACTGGGTGCGGAGCCCCCACACAGGCAAACCCACCACCCTAAGCTGAAGACCTGAGCTGAGATCAAGCTTCAGATGTTTAACCCGCTGAGCCTCCCAGACGCCCCTTGGCATGTGTCATTTATCCACTGAATCGTTTAAAACAAATATCACTTACGGCTGTCTGGTGGGCAGTGTGAAGCCCTGAGGAATCCGAAGTTAAAGTCAATGGACATTTCCCGGAACCTGTAGCATTTCTGTCCGATCTTTCCTCAGTAATTTTTTGTACAAGCAAAAGTGCTTGAAACTTCTCTCCAATTACAGAAACAGTTCCACCTCTATCTTCTGTAGTTCCTGCTCCTTGAAAGACCCTGTCGAGCCCCGTCCAGGACCACCTTAGGCTTGGATTGATGCACTCTGGAGACTGTGGCAGAAGCTGGTGGTGGCCCATATCCCCCAGCTCCTCTGAGACCACCTGCAGCTGCCGTGGACGGTTCCCAACACGCTGATGGCATCCCCCCCTCCACGTTCTCAAACCTAATTCTTTATCATTCTCAAGTTTTCTGAAATCAATTATTAACAAAGTCTTTGTTCCCATTATGTCATTGCTCTGTGTGTCCACTATGTCTTAGCAGCCATCCTAGCAAGGGGACAGTTGAGGAGGTGGGGGAAAGTAGAAATGTACTGGGGCTAGATTTTTACCCTAGATTGTGTGTGTGTGTGTTTGTGTGTGTGTGTGTGCGTGTATGAGCATGCACACGTGTGTGTTTATGCATGTGTGTATGTATGTGTGTGTGTGCATATTTAAATCTACTCTTCCTTTTTTTAATTGGGAAAATACATACCTATGTTTAGAAAAGATATTTATCAAACAGACACATCTGCACCCTTAATCCCCTTCCCCAGAAGCAACAGTTGCCAACGTTCTGAGGTGTTTTCCCAGAAATATTCTAGGTATAAAAAGCATAGATGTTGAATATAGATTCCCTTTTTTTAATGTAAAAGATGGCATAATACACACTTCACACTGTGCCATATATATGGGGATTCACCTCAAAATAGAGTTACCTCACTTTTTTTCCACAGCGATGTTCAGTTGTTTGGAAATGTCCTTTTTGAATGGACATTTTGGTTGTTTAATTCATTTGCTATCACGAACAACTCTGCCTTGAACATCCTTGTACACACATTTTTGTATACATGTATCACTACACTTCTCTCAACAACGAATATAATCAGTATCTTGTCTTTTGATAATTAGTAGGTGACAGAATATTTTATTTCGTTTTTTTTCTTTTTTCTTTTTTTGTTTTCTTATTTTTGTCTGTTTTTTCTTTTTTATTTCAGTTTTATTTTCTTATTTCAATGTGGAATTTTTTTTTTTTTTGGGAGAGAGAGACACAGCGAGAGAGGGAACACAAGTTAGGGGAGTGGGAAAGTGAGAAGCAGGCTCCCCGCCAAGCAAGGAGCCCAGTATGGGACTCGATCCCAGGACCCTGAGATCATGACCTGAGCCAAAGGCAGATGCTTAACAACTGAGCCACTGAGGTGCCCCTCAATGTGGATTTTTTATATGTTTGTCAAACTATTGGTAATTCTTTTTCAGTAAAGAGACTTTTTCTATTTTTTGCCTATTTTCTATCTTACTGATGTAAGATAAAAATCTCTTACGTTAAGGCTGGCCCTCTCTACTCAAGCATCATGCTACAAACATGTTGTCTTTCACCTTTTCACTGCAATGTGCTTTTCCTCCCCAATTTATAGCATTTTAGACAGCCTAATTTATTTTTTTTTCTGCTTTCTGGGTTTTGTGTCATATTTAGAAAAGACATCCTCACTTCAAAACTATTTCTCCCAGCATTTTTCCAGGTTCTTGGTTAAATTTAAGAGTCCAGAAATTATTCTAGGCCAGAAGTCAGCCCTAATGTTTGTCTTTTCTGCATTGGCTCTGGGATCCATGATCCAGATTTCCCAGGTCCCTGGCTTACTGGCACATTGCTCATTGTGACCTGGGACCCTCAAGCCCTCTCCTGTACACTGAGTTCTTGGTTCAGACCCCAGGGGGAAGCCGTGCAGACCATTCTCACTGGGGCCCATGGGTTCCAGGTGGCCCCACAGGGAGCTGGATGCCCATGTGACTCAGTCACAGACTATCGAACTTCCTCTGTAAATTCGGCTGACTCTGGTCCCCTCTCCCCTCCCATCCCCGCTGCTGAGCCTTGCCAGCCCTTCTCTGAGGGAATTTGCATCATGCAGCAACCGCAGGACTCTTGAGGACTGCCTCCCTGAGCCATGGTCTGTGCAGCTCTCCCCGTGCTACTCCTGGCCATGACTCTGCCCCCGGTGGAGTCTCCAGTTGCGCAAGTATCCCAACCTGTGAGTAAGACTGGGACGAGGACCCAGGGAAGGTCTCCAGAGCTGACACAGGGGCCTGTCAGCATGAGAGGCAACCGGTGTGGATGAAGGGACAGGTAGAGGAGCAAGGACTGACGGGAGAGGAAGTAATATAGAAAAAGAGAGGCCAGTTTCTTATAAAAATCTCTGAGAGGTCAGTCTTGTTTTCCAGGGAGTGGGAGAGCTTTTGTTTCTTCGAGTCACTGTGAACTCCAGTGTTGCCAGCTGCACTTTGGATGAAGGCTCTCCCAGTCAAGCTTACAATTTAAAAATGGAAAGAAAAGAAGAATTTTCCAGAGTTGGGAACCATGGGCATAGAGGACAGGAGAGATTCTGAAGACAGCAAAGTCGAGTTAGCACTTTGGGATCTCTGTTTTCTCCCAGGAAGACATCTGCTTCTCTATCCATATCCATATCTGTGTCTGTTTTTAGATAGTACGCATGTTCATATACAATTTTGAGAGAGGGAGGAGTTAGTGAGGAGATGATTTATAGGAACGAGAGACGAAGGGAAGATGCTGCTTTATGCTCACCTTCGTGGCAATTCCTATGGAGAAAACAGAATTTCCCAAGCCGCTGGGCCCCAGCCGGCTCTGCCCAGCCCTCCCCAATGGCGTTCCAGACACTGCCATTTCAGTTAGCTTAGAGGCCCAGGGACAGGTAAATTCAGGAAGGAATTAAGCAAAGCATGTTGACTCTCTAGGGTGTGCCGGGTTCTGGGTTCAGGTGGGATTTGCAGGCCCTGGTGGAGTCCTCTGGGCTGCAGCCCTGGTGCCTCCTACCGGAAGCTTGCGTTCCTCTCCTGATGTGCCTGCTTAGGTCTAGCTAGGCGAAAGAAGAGCCTCAAAGAGATGGAGACATGCCAAATTACTCAGGCTGGCCTGAGTCCCCTAGGGAAGAAGGTGTCTCTGGGAGAAACTTGGGGTCAGCCTCCTCTCAGAGATCTCTCCTCTGTGCTCTGTTCCAGGCACAGAGTCAGGCTGGAGGGGAATCGGGGCAGCCATTGGACCAAAGGAGTGGAGAAGGTGGTGAGTGGATGGAGTGGACAGGAGGAGGAAGCAGGGAGTGGAGGGAGGGCAAAGGGAGAGGACAGGGAGCAGGGTGTGAGGCTGAAGATGGCCCCCAGAAGACTGGATTCATGGCTGCTCATGGTGGACACACAGATCCAGAGGCCAGTTCTCTAGCTGTGAGGACTTGAGAAAATCATTCCCCTTGAGAGCCTCATCTATAAATGAGGGTTTGGGGGAGGGTAACATGGAGTTGTGTGTGAATGCACCGTGGCTAGTGAAGGGTTACAGCTCTCTCAAGTCTTGTCAGCGACTAGCTGGGCTGTGGGAGGTGGGATCTGCCTAGGGTCTGGGCAGGGACCAGTCAGGTATGGGAGGCAAAAGGGGACCAGCCCATAGCCTTGCCGCCTCTCCTCTCCAGCTGCCCCCCCTCTGCTCCTGTAGAATCAGTCCTGGCCTCGGTCTATGTACAGCTGGCCTTGTCAAACCAGACCTGGCCACTGGCAATCTCCAGGACCCTGACTCGCCCCCTTGCCTCGGCTTCCTCTTTCCCAAGAACTCTCACTGGCCTCAGCCTCACAACAGGTAGGGGGGATTCTACGGAGCCCTGTCTCTCAGTGGCCCGTCCACCACTTGTGGGGGATGGGGGCTCAGAGAGAAGGGGACACGGGCTTCCTAGGTCTCCTGCAGCCAGCTCACCTTGACCGCTGCCAACCCCTCCCATTTCCTGGAGGGTCTCCATGGGCAGGCTCCTTCCTCACCTCCCCACCAGACAGACCCTTCCCTTCCTGTTCCATGTCCCCATCTTCTAAACTTTGGCAGAGGCCCAAGAGGCAGACAGTGGTGGGTCAGATTTCTCCACCCCCCCCAACCCCTGATGATTTTGCCCAGCAGGAAATCCTCTGCTGCTTTTCACCCTGAGGAGGCAGTCCCTGACGGCTGAGGCCCTTGTGACTTTGGGATGGCTCCGGACAGCCAGCCCTAGAACCTCTCAGGCATCAGACTACCTGGCTCTCTCCCACAGCCTGTCCACTTCTTGTCCCCACCCTCTGCTGCAGAGTGTAACGTCCACGCGGATGGGCAAAGCTATTGTGCGTGCCTGTCTGGGTACCAGTGGAACACCAGTGTCTGCTCCCATCACCGCCCGTGCCAGACCACCCACAACCACAGGCCCTGTGGCTGTCTGGTCCTTGGCTCTACCGAAGCCGGGTACTGCCAGTTGCTGCCACCTGGTAAGGAGGGTTGGGAAGTTGGAAACCAATGAGCCCCAGTGTGTTTTCTCCTCTCTGACCCCTGTATTTCTGCCAGCTGGCCCAAGCCCGGGTTCCTCCACTGGGCAGGAGAATTGCCAGTTATCCTGGGGTGGGGGGTCACAGCCCTGAGCTTGGGACCTGAGTAGTGAGACTAATGAACAGTAGGGCTCCTGAGACATATGGACAAGGAGAGAAAGGGCTAGAGTGACTGTTGTTGACCCTAGAGGGCCAGGAAGGGGCTCCAGCAGCCCCAGGTTGCCTAGGGAGGGAAAATCATGGGCCACAAGGCTTCCCTGTTTGGCTCCCTAAGACAGAGTTCTCCAACTGGACAGCAGCAGCCACACTCATCCAGCGACAAAACAAAGTGACATAGTACTGGGGGCTGTGGGGAGGGAATGAGGAGGAAATGAGGAGGAATGGGCTCCCCGAAGATGGGGAAAGAGTGAGAGCTTAACCGCAGAGGGCCACAATTCCTGCTCCAAGGGGCCCCTGCCTCCTACATCCCTGCAGCCCCCGGAAGGCTGAGCCCGAACTCCTGGGTGCGGACGCCGGGCACCACTCTGAACCTGACCCTCGTCAAGAGCCGTGAGACCACAAACCTTAACTGGTTCCTGCGGCCCGCGGGCAGCCCCACCCTCATCCTCCTGCAGCCAGGGACACATGTGTCCCTGGCCTCCAGCCCGGGCCAGGCTGTCCTCAGCATCTTCAACGTCTCCCACAGATGGGCAGGTAGCTAGCCTGCCCTTCCTCTCATCTCTCTTCTCCTATGTCTTCCCCTTCTCTTAAGCCTTCTCTTCCCCTGATCCCCTCGCCTTCCTCCTCCTCCCTCTCTTCTCCTTCCTGCTTCTCTCTCCCCTTCCTTTCCCTTTGCATCTTTCCATTTATTCATTCTGGGGAAACAAAAGCTAAGGGGCCCGCTGATGGGAACAATCACAAGAGGAGAATGCCGAAGGTAGGGGTCAGTCTCGGCAGTGAACAGACAGTGTGTTCCCGTCAAGATGTTGCAGTGGCAGCAGGGGGTTCAGGAAAGACATCCCCTAGCAGGAAAGGGGTTCACCTTGGAATTCTTGGCTCCAGGCTATTTAAAAAGGAGCCTCTTCTCCGGGCCTCTTCCTCCTAGAAATCCTTCCGGGGGCAGGGATCTCTGTTGCTGGGCTTGAGAGGCCCCCGGGAAGGCAGACCTTGGGTGTAGCTTCGGGAGCAGCAGAGCTTCTGTGGCACAGGTGGGGCCCGCAGGAGCTGGGAGGTGCAGCAGATGTGTATCCGCAGGTGAGTACCTGTGCTGCTTTGAGGCTCAGGGATTCAGGTGGGAGCTGTCCCAGCTGGTGGAGGTGCCACCGCAGGCAACAGATGTGGCTCGGCTTCCAGACCAGCTCTCCATTTCCTGTGCCACCTGCCCTGGCTTCCAGCTCACCTGCTGCATCCCTCGCACACATCTGGCCTACACAGCTTCCTGGAGTCCCGGAGAGGGCAGCAAAGGTACGGAGGGGCTGTCGGGGTCAGGGGACAGGTGGCAGCTGGCTCTCCAGGTCACAGGAAGCAGAGGCTGCAGTGCAACCTGAGTTCGGAGTCCAAGTCCAACCCTGTTTTTACCCCACAAGCAATCCTAATTGTATCGATCCAGCAATAACCACATGAGAGTAGATAACTTTGCAAAATGTTTTCACACAATCTTAGTGAACTCTTGCAATATACTCTGTGAAGTTCATTTGATGATAGACCCTGTTTTACAAATGAGGAACCTGGCTTCATGTCCTGGGGTTAGTTAGAGACCCCCCGGGTGTCCCTCACCAAAATCCAAGCCTTGCCTCCATAGTTTGATGCTCGTGTACCACTCAGCTCTCCCTCACTGTGTCATCTGCTTCTGAAGTTTCTAGAAAGACTGAGAGGACATCTCTTGGCCTGCTGGGTTCCAGGTCTATTCCAGGTGCAGTAACTGTTCCCTCTCTCGCGTCATTTGCAGCCTCCTCGGCCAGCGCGCCCGGCTCCCAGTGCTTTGTGCTGGCCGTCCAGCGCTGCCCTGCGGTGGACACCACTTACACTTGTGAGCTGCAGAGCCCAGGGCTGGCCCCTCTCAGGGTCCCCATCTCTGTTACCATCATCCAGGGTATGTGGGGCTTGGGATCCAGCCTGCTGACCTCTCACCTCCTTGTCCTGAGTGCTCCTCGACCCTGCCCTGGGCCCCACAGCCAGTCTCCAGAGCCTGGTCAGTCTTCTGCCCCAGAAAGGCTGGGGCTGGACTGTGGTTGCCGATCCTCCCCGATATCATTGTGCAGATGGAGACACCACCTGCCCAGGGGACTCCTCAGCTACTGCCTGGAATGTCACCAAGGCTGGCCACGTGGCACAGGCCCCATGCCCGGCAAACAGGACGGGTGTGGTGAAGCGGACCTGTGGGCCGGATGGGATTTGGGAGCCCGTTTATAGCAGCTGCACAGACGCAGAGCTCCTGGCCTTGCATCGCAGAGCCCGGGTAACGCTTCCGGCCCCGCTGCCCACACGCCTCAACCTCCATGCCCTACCCCTTTCTCACTCAGGACTTCGCTTCAGAAGCCTTCCCCCCTGAGGCCGGCCTGAAGGTCCTTCACCCTCTCTGAACTGGAGCCTAGCAGAGCCAGGGAGTGAGGCAGGGGCCGGCGAGGGCCCAGCGCTCTCATTGTGGGGCATGTGCTATTCTCCGATCTTAATCCCACCAAGTGTCTGTCCCACGAAAGTGTCATTTCCTTCTATGTGGCTCTCACAATCTTGGTTTCCTGTTCCCTTGGGACTGGTGCGGGGATGGGGAGGAAAGACTGGGATAGGGGAGGGACGGCCCCTCCCTAATGAGGACTTGCCCACCCCCCTCCCCAATTCCTGCTGTTTTGTCTGTCTCAGCTGCTATGGGCAGGCCAGGGCCAGCCTACTGTGGAGGTGCCCCAGATCCTGGCACGGCTGTCGGAGCAGGTGACGGCAGTGAGCTCTCCCTCTGACTTGTTGGCACTGCTGGGCACCATATCATTCCTGGCCCAGGTGGTGGTGGATGCTAGAATACAGCTTACCCGCAGGGCCCTGCAGGTGAGCTCTCTGAGCCGTGGCGGGGGCCAGCTGGGTGGTGGGGGCCTGAAACTCTTTACCTCTGGGCACTTTTGTCCCCCTGATATCACCATGGGCTGTCAGACAGCAAACCTTTCTAGAGTCTGAGTATCTGCTCCCCTAGTCCATCTCTCCTCTTGGACACCAGTCTTTAAGGCCATGGAATGTGGAGAAGGTCTGAGGCTGGGAACACATGGGAGGTCAGGGAAGGCAGGAGTGGGTATGAAGAAGTGACTTCAGAGGCATTCATGCAGAGGCACCCTGCACCAGAAGCCCCTCTACCCCGCCCCCGGAAAAACACACACACACACACACACACACACACGATACCTACATGGAGATACTAGAACACTCTTGGCTTGGCTAGACTCACCTAACCCAGCTCTCACTATGGGCAACAGTTGGTGACCAATAAGAGGCTTCCTAAAGAATAACTAGGGACAATGACACAACACACTCTTCCTCTCTGGAAATGTGTATCCCATGTGGGTGGATGGACGTGCATGTAGTCTTCTACTTCAGAACACCATCCCCTCTACTACTGGGGACCATTCTTAGCTTTATAGACCTATAGGGGTCAAGGAATTGGAAAGGGGCCCCTTAGGGTCTGGGTGACCCAAGGGATGGAGGGGAGAGAAAGACTGTCAGGTGGAGAGTCTGGATTGCATCAGGAGACCACATACTTGAAGCCACCCCAGTAGTGAGCTAAACAGCTCCCCATCCTTCCCCGACAGAAACTCTTCCTTCATGGGTCTCTCTTCCTATCCCCCTTGCTCTCCACCCTTGGGTCTTCTGCTGGACTAGGAAACGTGGGTTTGGGTCCCAGAGTTCCCTGTGCCCCTCGCCCAGTGCTGTGGGCTCTAGCGGCCAGGGCTCCGCTCTCCATTGGGATCTCTCTGTTGGGTGTCACAGGGTCTGCTGAAAACCACAGACAAGGTCCTCGACCTGGACACCGACTCTCTGTGGGCCCCAGCCCAGGCCCAGAAGCCCTCGGTGGGCTCAGCTCTCCTGCTGGCTGTGGAGACCCTGGCGTGCCACCTGTGCCCACAGGGTCAGCCCTTCTCCTTCAGCTTGCAGAACGTGCAGCTGCAGACCCAGCTCCTTGGACCTGCGTTTCCTGCTGACTACAGAGCCTCCTTCTCCACTCAGCCCCCCTTGCAGGCATGCATTCCCAGGCGCTCACTGGCCCCGCTGCGCCATAATGGAACTAACATCAGTGTTACTAGCCTGCTGCTGCAGAAACTGGACCGTCTTCTGCCCTCAAACTATGGCCAAGGCCTGGGGGACTCTCTCTATGCCACTCCTGGGCTGGTCCTCTCCATTTCCATCATGGCAGGTGGCCAGGCCTTCAACCAGGGAGAAGTCATCATGGACTTCGGGAACACAGCTAGCACTCACACTCCCCACTGTGTCTTCTGGGACCACGGTCTCTTCCAGGGCAAGGGGGGCTGGTCAGATGAAGGGTGCCAGGTGCAGACGGCCCACGCCAGCCCCACCACTCAGTGCATCTGCCGGCACCTCACTGCCTTCTCCATCCTCATGTCCCAAAATACTGTTCCAGAAAACCCCACCCTGGAGCTGCTGAGTCAGGTGGGCTTGGGGGCCTCCATCCTGGCACTGCTCGTGTGCCTGGGCGTGTACAGGCTGGTGTGGAGAGTCGTGGTACAGAACAAAGTTGCCTACTTACGCCACATGGCTCTGCTCAACATGGTGCTCTGCCTTTTGGCGGCAGACACCTGCTTCCTGGGAGCCCCACTGCTTCCTCCCGGGCCCCGAAGCCCGCTCTGCCTGGCTGCTGCCTTCCTCTGTCACTTCCTCTACCTGGCCACCTTCTTCTGGATGCTGGCTCAGGCCCTGATGCTGGCCCACCAGCTGCTCTTCGTCTTCCATCAGCTGTCCAAGTGCCGAGTACTCTCCCTGATGGTGGTCCTCGGCTATATGTGCCCAATAGGGTTTGCAGGGGCCGCCCTGGGCCTCTACCTACCCCGAGGGCAATACCTGGGGGAGGGGGCATGCTGGCTGAATGGGAAAGGAGGGGCGCTCTACACCTTCGTGGGGCCAGTGCTGGCCATCGTGGGTGTGAATGGGCTGGTACTAACCATGGCTGTGCTGAAGCTCCTGAGACCTTCGCTGTCAGAGGGGCCCCCGGTGGAGCAGCGTCATGCCCTTCTGGGGGTGACCAAAGCCCTGCTCATTCTCACCCCCATCTTCGGCCTCACCTGGGGACTAGGCCTAGCCACTCTGCTGGAGAAAGTCTCCATAGTTCCTCACTACATCTTCACGATTCTCAACACCACCCAGGTGGGTGACTATGTGGTGCCTGTGCTTGTCGCCCTTTGAGATGGTCTAAGTCGTTGCCAGTCCCTTCTCAAGGAGGTGTCATGGCAGAGAAGAAGAAACAGTCTTAGGAATTTTAGAAGACTTAGGTGTGGACCCCAGTTCCTCCCCTGAATAGCTGGAGAACTTTGGACAAACCTCTGTGAGCTTTGGTTTTCTTATCCGTAAAACAGTGTCTGGTTTTGCCAGAGAGGTCAGGGAATTGTCAGTGCCCAAAACTTTGATATCTCCTTTGTCACCAAAACAGTAAGAGAAGCGTCTGAAACAGATTCTATGCACCACATGATGTGAATGTGCAGAAAACTCTAGATGGGAAGCCTCGGGACATGAATTAGGGAGACAGAGGCTGAAGGAAGAGAAGAGGGAAAGAGCTGGTTTTGGTTGATTCCTTCCTCCTTGACTAACTTATCCACGTATCTCTCTTCTTAGGGTGTCTTCATCTTGCTGTTTGGTTGCCTCATGGACAAGAAGGTGAGTCTGCCCGCCCAGCCCCCGTCTGACTTGCGGTGCCCAGGCAAGGACTTGGGCTGGCATAACCGGAGCATTATCTTACCTGCAGATACGAGAGGCCTTACTCCAGCGCTTCTGCCGCACCCCACCTCCCAAGTCAACCATCTCCCTGGTGAGTTGCTGCCTTCAAACCCTCAGTTCTCTCACTGAGAGCAAGTTACAAGCAGCTGTTCCACAGCCTTCCTAAGAGGCACAGCTAGAAGCTGAGAGGAGGCTGAGGCTCTCTTTTAGACTAAGGATGTACCGGGTTCAAACTCCCCAACAATGGAGAAAGGAGCCGCATCAGAGCAGTCAGAGTCAGGTTCCCGGGCTCCTGATTCCAACCTGGACTCCTGGGGATTCTCTTTGTCTCTGGCTTCTCCATCTGAGAGCCTGCCTCCGGTTACTATATGAAGGGAATAGGTGGGATCGGTAAGTCCAGGAGTCGGTGTAGCCAAGAGCAAAGTTCTTAGGATTACTGTGGGCCTGGCAGGAGGGCAGGTGAGAACGTGAAGATGGGTACAACCTCATCAAAGGAGAGTTGATGATGATGATAATAATAATCACCCTGCAATTGGGCCTTTCTGCCCCTTCCTAGGCTACATATGAAACCTACATCCCAGAAGACAGCAAAGGAAGAAGTGAAGATGCCAGGTGAGAAGCAAGCCCTCCTGGGAGCAGCGTGAGCAGCACAGAGTGAAGCTGAGGGTAGCAAGCAGTGTCCTGGCTCAGAAGGCTCCTCTTCATGTCATTGTCCCGGCCCAAGGATTGGAAAACAGACTTTCCCAGCATAGACATTTCTGGATGGGATGGGGAAGGTGGAGGCCACAGCAGATGGCCTAGCATCTTCTACTGCTTTCTCAGAAAGCCGGAGGCACTTTTACCACCACCAACCTTTGATTCAGTTCACGCTGAACATTCCTTTTCACACTGTCAAATATTTAATTATCCTGAAAAACCTTTGTTTCGAAGGACTTGCCATCGGTGGGCGTGGTATCCAGAGGGCAGGGCAGCCTTGCAAGTTCTCCTTCACCGGCGCAGAGCTTCAAGGTGAGCCCTTCCATGGGGAAGGCAGAAGCTTTGAGTGAACCACACACAGGGCCCATGCGGCCCCTCTTCCGCGGGAGCTGAGCATGTGCTGAGAGAATGTGCCTGAATCCACCAGGATGGACCCCGGCCCAGTGCTCTGAGCCCTTCTGACCTCCCAGAGCTCAGCTGTTGGCAAAGACAAGCTAGTGTTTCCACTAGTCACGTTCCTTTCTCTTGCAGGTCACTTATCCCCATCCCTAAACTATGCAAGCAAAAATAGCATGAAAAACTAGCCAAAGCTACCTAATAATAAGCCTTCCTCTGCTGGAATCACAGTCGACAGATAGTAAAGTTCAAAATGATGGCAAGTAATGATTTTGCAAGTCTCAACCAGTTGACAAATCAACAGTTCTTGTTACAGATATATTTGATAAAAATTGTTTTCTTTTTAACTCTTCAGTGATTTCCTTTCTGATTATTTCTCTCTACAGCTAGGAAGAAAAAGGATGGCTTAATGACAGGAACTCTGATCTTCCAAACATTAAAGGTGAAGGACAGATTTTGGTTTCTTTTCAAAGTTTAGGAAAAGCTGAAGCTAATAGGTCCCTCTGTCTTTAACTTTCACAACAATATCAATGTAAATGTAAGTTTCATAGATATATGCGTGTAACACGAAGTCACTGATCTGAGCACCTTTGTAAGAATGCATTAACAACTCTAAAGTACAGCGGAAATTACCACAGTCCGCCAAGGAGTAAAGCGACAAGATGTCAAACACTGACATTTAAAAGTGACAGGCTTTAGGGCGCCTGGGTTGCTCAGAGGGTTGGGCCTCTGCCTTCCGCTCAGGTCATGGTCTCAGGGTCCTGGGATAGAGTCCCACATAGGGCTCTCTCCTTAGCCGGAATTCTGCCTCTCTGCCTACTTGTGATCTCTGTCTGTCAAATAAATAAATAAAATCTTAAAAAAAAAAAAAGAAAAAAGTGTCAGGCTCAGGGTGCCTGGGTGGTTCAGTGGGTTGATTCTTGGTTTTCTGCTCAGGTCATGGCCTTGGTGTCATGGGATCCCCGGCTCTCTCGCTCTCTAAAATAATAAATAAAATCTTTTTAAAAATTATATTGAAAAAAGGGATGGGCTCAAGATAAAACTAGATATGGAAGAGAAATATTTAAGAGAAGTCTTGAGAGGACACAAGGACATCTAGCTGAATTAACTCATGGAATCCACAAGACGATGACAGGGTTCTGAAAATTTTTTCAACAGGATAAATGAAAAAAAATTCTCATGTATGAGTCTTTGTTCATTAAAAAATTCATGGCTATTTTTATAAAATGCAATGGGAACATTTTCTGTTGAAATGCAAATGGATATGCAGTTGAAAACAGTTTTCTTACAAACATGGATCTGTGTGAATATTTTCAATGTATATAAACCAGCGCAAATATTTTTCTAAATGAATTCAATTCGTTTTTTGGGTTTTTTTTTTTTTTTTTTTTTTTTCCAAAGAGAAGATACCAACTCAGCAGGGCGATTGCAACATTTCTAAGCCTCAGACCTGCCCCAGCCCCCAGGGTAGGTGGGAGGCAGGCAGCCACTGGAACAGCTAGAGCTCTGCCTGCTGGTTTCCCTGGCAACAGAGTCCTGTCTCAATCGCCCTGGTACTTCATTAATATTTACAGTCTTAATTTTTTAAATTATAAGATTATTTTTGAATATTTCAACTAATACACATTCATTTTAAAAGCAGCAGAGACTCTGAGTGTGCTTCTGTAGAAATCAATGTCTTATTCTCTTTCTCAAATGATGGCACATAGTTCATGCTCTGCTGCT